CGCAAGATGAAAAAGTTCTGTAAATCTGTTTCACAACAATGTGAATATAATTAGCACTGTGACCTATATATACTTAAAATGGAAAAGACAATAGATTTTGTTGTATCTTTTTACTACAATAAAAATAAATCTAGGTACATTTTTGTATTGTATTTGATTTTTATATTATCAAAACAATGTTTCTCCCTGACTTTTCAATAAGAATGATCCTCAAAGAAGATGTGCAATTTTTATCTTCTAGTTTTGCACATCCCTGCATATCATGTGCCCGGTTTGAGAAGCGTGACTCTGCACTACACATCCAAGGAACCCAAACTCAGCACTATCCACAGGTCACTGTAGTTTTTATATCTTCATTCAGAGGGACAATTAGCTATTTTCTGTTTTTCATTTCATTGATTTCGACTTTAATCTTTATATTTTCCTTCTGGCTAACTTGGGTTTAATTTGTTTTTCCTTTTCTTAGATTATTGGTCTGGCATCTTCTTTCTTTTCTAATATAGGCGTTTAAAGATACAGATTTCTCTGTAAATTTTTCTTTAGCTGCATCCTAAAACTTTTGATATATTGCATTCTGCTTTCATTCAATTAAAAATATTTCTAATTTTTCTTGTGATTTATGTTTTCATCCATGGCTTTATTTAGGTTGTATGGCTTAATTCCTAAATAGCTGGGGATTTTCCAGATATCGTTCTGCTACTAATTTCTAGCATACTTCCATTATGGTGGGAGAACTTGTTTTGTATGATTTTTATCCTCTTAAGTTTTTCGACACATGTTTTATGGCCCAGAATACAGTCCATCTTAATGAATTCCAGGTGCACTTGAAAAAGAATGTATATTCTTCTGTTGTTGGGTATAATGTCCTAGCTGGTCAAGTTGGTCCACTGTTTCTCCTTTCAGTTCTATCATTTGCATTATGTATTCTAAGCCCTGTTATTAGATGCAGATATATTTATAATTCATGTTTTCTCTTATAAATTGACTCTTTATCATGATACATTGTCTCCCTCAGTGCCTGATTATAATCCTTGTTCTGAAATCTATTCTGTCTGATATAAATAGGACACTCTGGCTTTCTTTTGATTAGCGTTTGCATGAATTACCTTTATTCATTGTTTTACTTTTAACCTATTGTTGTATTTACATTTAAAGTGGGCAACTTGTATCTAGCAAATAACTGAGTCTTGCTTTTTTGTTCAATATAACAGTCTATGCCTTTTAATTGGAATGTTTAGACCGTTGAAATTTAATGTAATTATCGATATGGTATAAAAGGTTTTTAAGCAAGTAAATCCTAAAGTTCTCGTCAGAAGGAAAATAACTTTTTTTGTATCTAAACGAGATGATAGATGTTAATGAAACTTATTGTGGTAATGACACATCAAGTCAGTGCGCTGTATGCCTTTTACAGAGTTGTATGTCAGCTTTGTCGCAATAAAACTGGAAAGAAAATTATCAATGGTTAGATGTAACTATACCATTCTGCTACTGTTTTACATTTGTCTCATTTGTTCTTTATTCCTTTTCTCCTGTCTTATTTTGGATTGGATTTTAAAAATATTCTCCTTATCTCCACTCTTGGCTTACCAACTATACCTGTTTGTTTTTATGGCTGTCATCTTCCTTGTCGTCGTTGCTATTTTAAGTGTTGCCCTCAGACTTAGCATTACATCCTCAACTCATCTCGGCCTATCTTCAAACAACCACTTTAGCTGGAGGGTAAGGCCCTTCCAATAGTGCATTTCCATTTTGTGTCTCTAGTCTCTTGTGCCTTGTTATTTTACTTTTCACTTTTCCAAATTCCAAACCAGGTGAGCCTGCCCTTGGTGTGACCCAAAACTGCTGCTGTGCATTTCCAAAACGCCTCATACAGGGCGATACTGCCCCTGTGGAGAACCACAGGTTTGGGCTCTGAATATTGGAAACATGTCCCCCTTTCACTCTGCCCCTCCTTGGCCCCGCATCATCTTGCCACATCATCAAGAGAATCTCATGAGCCCTTTTCTTTCTTCGCTCTTTCTGGATGATGAATTCATTCACTGGTGTGGCTGCAGCCACTGCCCGATGCGCTTGGTTCCCAACCCACCTCCAGCCCACCCTCCTGCTTCTGCCTCTTCTGTTCAAAGTCTGCTCATCCTTAAAGGCTCAGATCAAGTGCTGTGTACTCGATGAAGACTTCTCCAATGACTACTCTTCTCCTTGCCCTTGGACATCTGGACTATAGTTTAGTTCTTTCCTGTACAGAACTCCTCAAACTGCAGTCAGGCCCGGCCCCTAAAAACCTGGAGAACAGCTTGTTAAAAAGCAGGTTTCAAGCAACATCTGCAAAAAACAACATTTTAGTAAGTCTGGTCAATTATTTTCATTTATAAATACCCAAAGTAAAGAAATGTACATTTTAAAAACTCTCAGAAGGATTTTGGTAGAAATTGAAAGTTAAAGAACCAGTACCTTAGACGTTTCATTTCATGTTTTCCAAACTGGTATGTAAACCTTTTCAATGTAGGAAATGCTTTTTAATTTTTGGGAGCTAGCCAGCCCCATGCTGAGCCTATCATTGGAGTTTTCAGTTTTCAGAGTCAGGCACTGGGGACTAGTGGGACTTAGGCGGTGTCTTGTTGGTGGGTTTTAGCCTCTGGCACGATCTGGATCAGCCACCTCCAGTCTTTGATATACGTAATCGATAGTGTTCTCTGGCTCTTACATACAGCATGTCAGTAAAGAGCTATCCCAATGAAACTTTGAGACAAGTACCCTGGACTTTCTTTCAACCAGATTGCTGTCCCTAATGCCATCCTCTACAGAAATTGTGGAGCAGCCACAGTCTGGGACACTAAGATTTATAAAGCTGGTTCCTGTTTGTAGGGAACTTCAAGTCTAATAGAAGAGAAATAGGTAAACAAATAATTACATGGTAATCAACTCACATAAGGGATACAAAAGGCCTTGCCCAGTGTGGTTCAATTGGTTGAGCATCACCCCAACAAAGCGAAAGATCTCTGGTTCAGTTCCAGGTCAGGGCACACACCTGCGTTGTGAGTTCGGTCCCCAATCAGGGCATATGTGAGAAGCAGCTGATAGATGCTGCTTCTCTCTCATTGATGTTTCTCTCCCTCTCTTTTTCCCTTCCTTCCCCTCTCTCTAAAAATAAATTAAGTCTTTAAAAACAAAAGATGTTTTGACCAAATCAGGGAACTTGATATCTGAGCAGAGTTTAAAGGAATGCACAGGAACGAATTTAACCAGGCATGGAAGAGAAACCCAAACAAGGGAACTGCATGTGCAAAGGAGGGTGGTTTGCATCAGTACAGTTACTCAGAGAATGAATGGTAAGTGCAAGAGTTTGGTGAAAAATGGCAGGAATAGACCTTCTTGCATATTCCCCTGGCCTTGCATATTCCCCTGGGCGGATGGGGAGGCTGATGGGATAAATTTGTGGGACTACACCCTTCAAGACATTACTATCTCCTTTTATTCAGAAGCAGATAGTTCCTGATGATGCCACAACATCTCCCTTCCTCAAGCACAGCAGCTCCCTGAAGCCCCTGGGGCTGCAGCTCTGGGCCCCACGTTCGTTCTAGTGCACTGACTCTCAAAGGCCGTGGTCGCCGCCCCCGGAAGAAATACTGTTTGTGCTGTGACCTTACATACACAAAAATAAAACTGAAACACAATTGATATAAAAATAATACTTTCAGTATTGCCTGTGATCCCTTTGTTTTGTTTTCTACTCTATTCCATTAAAAAAAATTAAAGTTGGGTGGTACCCACAAAGTTATTTCACAGTGCAATGAGTCACAACGCACGGTCTGAGAAACACTGTCCTAGGAAACATGCCCTAGTTTGGCAGTGTCAAGGCCAAGCACAGCGCAGCGACTCCGAGCTCCAGCTCCGGCAACACCGCCGCAGCCGGGGTCGTCCTTCCCTCACTTACCATCTGTGTGGCCGTGGGCGAGTGCCGGAACCTTCCATACCTCAATTTCCTTGTCTTCAAAATGGGACAAAAACAGTATCTACCTTGTAGGGTTGTTGTGAAGATTAAGTCATACATATATAGTGGATTATATATTATATATGTTAATTAACATATAATTCTATATCATGTATAAAATTGTGAAGATTGTCATATATATATATATATATAAAATTTGCAGACAACTGCCAGACCTTAAATGCTTCCTAAGTGTCAGCTGCCATTATTATTACTCATCATTACTTTCATCATCTTTGGTCCCTCCTGTTATCCCATCCTAAAATGAAGCTAAGTTGCAGTACCACTGGTTGGGGAACAACAATACCCAACAGGTTATTTGCAAAGCTGCACAAAACTACCCGGTGTGTGGGGGAAAGACGGAGAGACGCCGTGGGACCCAGCCCACACAGGCTGCCTTCTACCCCACCCCTTTTTGCAGGGGAGAGGAGGGAACTCCTTTACGAGCCATGGTTGCCTTTCTACCAGCCATTGCTGGTGTTCTGGATAAGGTGATTGCTGGGTCTCCCATGGCCCCCTCCGCTTTCCAGTAACAAACAATGTATTTCCTCATTCGCTTTTTGTGACCACCTATAATCTCACACCCCCCACCTGAGGAGAACTTCCTTACTACCACGTATCTTGGGGGCCATATTAGGATGAAGATCCATACAAAGAAAGATTGGATTTCTTTTCTCGTCAATTCAGTGCACTGAATCCAATAACGGACAGCCCACCAAACGGAGGAGGAGGGGGAGGGGTTGGAGGGGGAGAAGGGGAGGGGGAAGAGCAGCAGCAAACTTCTCAGTTATGCCAAAGGCTGGCATGTTTCAACCCACCTCACCGTCTCAGATGTTCTGGTGGTCAAAATCAGGAACAAAAGGGGCACCTACCAACCTGGTGGGTGGGCGCCAAATTCATGAACATTCTATCAATCACCCAAAGGACCAATTCGGGAAATAAAGAACTGGAGACTTGGAATAAATGTTTCATTGGTCATGATGATCAAAAGATAATGGTTAGCACACACACACTCAGACCTCATCCCACCGGTTGCAGGGCTGAAGCAACACCTCTGGGCCCCCCACCCCCTCGCTGGGCGCCTGCAGCCACACCCTGCAGCCACCGCCCCACCCAGGACTCTGTCTTCGCTCGGACTTCTGCTCCATTTTCAACTTCTCTCGACACGGTGCCTGGACACTCCCGGTCCAGAAAAGTCAAAGACTTGACCTGAGTCTGCAGTGGGCAGGGCTGCAACGTCCATGAGTCCTTCTCCGTCTCCCTTTCCCCGCTTCTCTCCTCTCCCCTCTCCCACCCCATTATTGTTCCCCAGAAACAAATAGGATGGCTTCACTGGTCAATTCTTTACATGTACAAACACCAAAAGCAGAGGGAACACCCCTGGCCACCCCCCTCCCCCCAAACCCCAGTGCTGCGAGAGCAGCCAGCGGTGGGTGAGGCTGCCTCGGGAACTGCGGAGCTGCTGCCGTTGTCCGGCTGTTCTGGAAACTTCTTTGGTCTCTGGGCTTTACCTAGAGGCCTCTTCCTTCAGCTCCTTGTTTTTCCGCACCTCTTCTGCGTGCTTGTCCTGGAAAGGAAGGGAGGGAAAAGGGCAGGTCACACCTGGGGGATAAAGAGAGGGACAAGAGAACCCAAAGAATGGCCATCACAGGAAGTGAAGAGCAGGGTCGCAAGGAGTCCTGAGAAGGGACAGAAGATGGCAGGTGAGACTGGCAGGAGGCAGGTGAGTCTGCTGCTGTGGCTCCAGGGGACTCACTGACTGGGGTCGCCCTCCCAGGGGACCCACCTCGCAGTGACCCCAGTGCCCACCAGCCTCTGTGTCCCTTGCCTGGCCACCCTGGGGTTTGCACTGAATGTGCTACTTGGCTTCAAATAAGGAGCCACTCAGTGTAGTTGCCAGAGGAACAGGCAGAGCAGGCAGGCCTCACTGCAGGTGTCCCCACACACATGCCACTTGACTGTCATTTTATCTCCTGTCTGCCTCCTTAGGAGAGTCGTCTAACCCCCTTGGCAAAAGATGAGGGCTCTTCAAGAAAAAATGGACTGAAGAATTTTTGGAAAGGTTGTCCAAGCCCAAAAGGTGAGCTTTCTTACAAGGGTGTTAAGAGAATCCTCTGTTGCTTCACAGCAATATCAAGTCAAATGCTGGGGTCTGACTTCAAAGGCCCACTAGCTGTGTGACCTTGATCAGCTTACTTTATGGATCACGCCTTTGTTCTCTGGTCTTTAAAGAGCAGGGCACACATCTAGGAGCGTGCATACTCCTAGAACCCTGCAGTTTTAGCATGCACCTCTTGGATTTATCATTACAACTCATTCACTGTGCAGAGATCCAGGTCCTCTACTGGGTGACTTCCTCATGGGCAGGGAGCAAGTCTTGTTCTTTTTTGAATCTCCCTGTTCCTCCTAGGGCACCTTGCACATGGTAGGTGCTCAATAAATATTGTCGCTGCCAGACCCTGGCATCCACCCAGATATCATCACACCCAGACATCAAGAATCAGCCCAGAGCAAGCACACTGAGGCAGTGCAGGTTCCCAGGATGTACCATCTTAAACTATAAATCTGTCCCTGGAGAGGTCCTAGAACTTTTCGCGGTCCGGGGGAAAGTACGGGGAGTGGTGCATCTAAGGCAGCCGTCCTCAACCTTGCTCCTTGTATCACCGTGACCTAGGAAGCTTGTTAAACTGCAGATCCTCAGGCGCCATCCCTAGACAGCCAGTATGAGTAAGTGCATGACAGGATCCACCTATTTGTAGTGTTAAACTTGATGCCACATGACTCTGGTGCAGGTGGTCAATGACCCACACAGGTAGTGACACAGACATTGTTGACCATGTCCCTGGCCTAAGCCAGGGCGGAAACCACATACCTATCTCCTGCTTCACTGGTGGGCAAGGGTGAATAGAGGCCAAGATCAAAGAGGAGTGAGGCCCACCTGAATGTCTGCTCCGACATCTTGCTTCTTTGAGTTACACCTGACCCCCAAAGCTATTATCCCAGAGCCTGGGTCTTCCCAGTCTCTTGGACTCCACCTCCACGCCCAGGTGAGCTCCCTGGGCAGCACCCTCGGTTTCTGCAGTCCCTTTCCTTGGCCTCCAGTGGCCTCCTCCCTAACAAAAGGCCAGCAGGGCAACTGGGGGCTGGCTTCCCTGAAACAAGTGTTGAAAGAGCTACCTGGACATGTAGCCAAAGAGCAGGGTTCTCGTCCTAGCTCCACTGCTTAGTGTCTGTATGACCTTGGGCAGGTCAGCTGACCTTCTCTGACATGGTTTCCTCATTGCTACAAAAGGGTAACACCTGCCCTTCTTACCTCATGGACTGCTTGCGAGGATAGGGGGACGATGAAACGGAAGTGTTGGACACTCTTTCAAATACCATTTCATGCTCTAGATTCAATGATTTCTTCTGGATTTGGCCTGAGAGTCCATGCCCCAGCCCATTCCAATCCCAGATTTTTTCCTGCGAGAGTTTGCTCCTAGCCACCCCTCAGTAACTGGGGAAGTCTGACATTAGACAAGATCGCTTCCTTCCTCTCTGGTGCTTGGTGGAGGCCTTGCTGCCCCAGAAGGATGGAGGAAAGAGTGGAAGGGCTGTCACATGCTGGCCAGCTGCAGGGACTGTGTGGCATTCAGATGCCCTATCTTTCTAGAAGCTGTTGTGAAGGGCCTGAGGCTCTAGGCCGATGGGCAGGAAGGAGTGGAGACCACGCTGCTCACCATGGGACGAGGCCACCGATCGGGTCCAGGGAGTCACCGCGCAGCAGGCGGCTCCTGGAAATAAAACACAGAGCTAGAGCTCTCTCAGGAGCTGCAGGAGAAACTGGGGCAGCCTTGAGACTCAGGAAACGAGGCCAGCATGTCCTCAGCAGGACACACTGTTACTCTGCTGACACGTGGGACCAACCCCAGCCTCTCACGTTTCTCATATTTAGGTGACACCATTTGGTTTATTGACAAAAGGCAGCGTATTGGAAAGACCCGTGACTGCCTCGGTCCATATCAGGAGAGCTGGAAAGAATCATGTTTCCTGCTTAATGGGCAGCTCAGGTCATCATGCCCTTGGCTTAGAGCCAAGAGCTCAAGTCAGCATCTTTCATTGAGTCAAACTGGTCCATTCAAGGATGAAGCCAGAAGTGTACAGCTGCTAGTTTATCCCTCCTGCCTTGCATTCGGTGGGCGTCCTCTAGGTGATAAGAGGTCTAACCTCTCAGACAATGAGAAATTACGATTGTGTAGCTGCGCAGCACTCTTCCGAGGAGGAACTCCAAAGCTCAGTTGGTGTTTCTTGCCTATGACTCCCCAAGTCATCCCTTGGAACTCATTAAGGACCCAGCCTAACAGAAATATCCCCACTTCTGCCTGAGGCTGCTTGCTCCCTGCAATGATATATAGGTTCACCATACTCGCCATGGGAAGAAAGAGAGTTCCAGGAGTCTCCTTGCTGATTCCAGACCACTTACCTTCTCTTGCAGCCGTTCCAACATAGCGGCAAGGTGGGCCTCTCGGTTCTCCTTGTTGGATTCCATCTTCTGGGCCAGTTTTTCTTTAGCCATCTTGATAAAATTGTTGTTTTCCTCGATGGCTTTCTGGATCACCTCCCGCTCGTGTTCCCGCTTCTCTGCCAGGTGCTTCAGGAGCTCAGCTTCCTGATACTAGGGCCGCACAAAGGCAGAAGGAGACCCATGAAGGGGACCGTGCTGGGGATGTTTTTATCATCGTAACTTGACACCTCCACACCCAGAGCAGATGACTCCACACCCAGGAGCCTGGCCCTGGCCCACTGGCGGAGAGCAGGACACTCCTGGGTGCTCCCACCACACCCTCGTTCTCTTTTCCTCGTGACCATCATTCATTCGTTCACTCGCTTACAAATACTAAATAACCATGTACTACGTGCCAGGCACTATTCTAGAAACTGGAGGAGGAGGGGGAAGCCTATGAGAGGTAAGACAATCAGAAGTAACTGGAACCCAGACTAGCATATGACATTTGCCTTCAGAGGTGGAGAGGAAGTGCTGTAGGAATTCAAGGGAGGAAAAAATTATTTTCTGCTTGAAAGATGAAGAAAAACTTACACAAAAATGACACCAGAGTTGGGCCATAAGAATCGACAGGAGTCGCGGCAGGCGCGCCAAGGGGTGGAGGTGCGCCACATCATGGCCTTCCTCCCCCTCCCAAATTAAGGACCGCCCCCCCCCGCCCATGTTTTACTTGTTTAGTCTTTTCCTAAATCATTCGTGTCTGTCAATGTCCTACTCTTGTGGCTGTGAATATAAGGCTACCTCCTGGGTATGTAATGTATGAGTGCCCTGGCCCCCTAACAAAACTGAAAGCTCGTAGAGACCAGGGACTTGGACTTTGTTTCTCCCAGTGGCGCCTCCTTCTCTGCCCTGCATACGGGAAGTGCTGTCTACTATTTTTAGGCTGGTGGTGACTTGACACCAACTCAGAGCTACCACCTGTCTTCTTGAGCTCCTTCCCCCTCCTGCTGAGGTGCAGGGGACAAAGGACAGCCCTTACCTTCCTTCGCTCTTCAGCTGCTTCTAGTTTCTTCTGTATCTCCTCCAGCGAGGGGTCTCTCCGCCTGGGTAGGGAGGCATTGAACTCGGGCACCCCGTCAAAGGAGGGCGGCTTCAGGATGACTTCAAAGGACTGACCTGAGGTGCATTTGTTCAGTTCGATAACTTCCATGTCAGAAATTACACACCAGTTCAGGTCCACCGTATCTGCTGCAGGGAGAAGAACAGGGGCTGCTTACCCTGTGAAGATGGCATGGGCACCCATAAAGCATACACACGTGCACACACACGTGGGCGGCCTGGGTGCCCAAGGCAAACCAATGACCAGGGTTCTGGGTCTGTCTTCTACATGACACCTAAGTTCAACGGGCTCTGATGGGGCTGGAGGAGCTGGTAGCCACAGTGAGGTCTCAGGCTCCAGACGTGAGGTCTCAGGCTCCAGACATAAGGTCCCAGGATATGTGATTTCTAACAACGGCTGCAGCAACTGCTTGGTTTCTGCCACAAGGCCCCTCCCCTAGCTGAGCGCTTGCACCAGCTGTCATCAACGGTGGCCAACAGCGGTATGCTTACCCACCACCCTCTGCCCGCCCGCTCCTCCGCTCCTCGTCCCCCTACGGATCTGATGGCTCGGCCTGTGGACACCTCTCCCCCTCTCCCTCCTACCCTGCTCTCTTCTTTCTCTCCAGTCAGCACTGTCTTTCCGCTGGCTTTGATCTTTCCTCCTACACTGTCTCCCACACCAGCCTAAACAACAGAAAAAAACAATCGCAGGTAACCCAAACACCCCCATCTCTCATTTCCAGACCGAACCCATCCCTTCCTTTTAACCCCCAGAAAATTAAGAAGCGACCTGTGCCCTGACCACCCCGCCTAGATGTGGCCGTCCAGTGGCCCGTGCCAGCACCCTGGGACACGGTGTGCTGAGGTCCATCAGCACAGCTATCAGGGGGCCTCCTTGGGTGGCTGCGGGTGCAAGTCTCCTTCCCGGCCCTGGGCTCTCTCAGAGCGTTCTCTGCCCTCCCTGTAGGTGACTTCGTGACCGTGGATTCTAATGATGTGCATTCGTCTTGCCTCCTCTCTGGTCTAGGTGTCCCCAAGGGCACAGTCTCTGCTTCACCTCTGCATCCTCCACAGCATCATTTGTTAAGTGACTGAACAGAAGCTAAGATCGAGAGCGCCTGCCTGGGTCTGATTCACACCTTCAGCTGCTGTCTGCTCCCCCAGGCCCAGCCCCCTGTGGACCCTCGGAGTCAGCTCTGGGAAAGGAAAGCTGACGCAGGGAGGAGAGGTTCAGGAAACGGGGGTGGGGGCGCTGTACTCGTGGATACAAGCCACGAAACCCTCCGTCCACTGCTTTCCCGACTGCGGCTCTCTCTTACCTTCATATTTATAGGAGGACTTATTCAGGGGATCGGCCAGGAAACAGGAGCAGAACAATGACACCAGGGGGAGCTCCTTCATCTTCTCCTTGTAGGCTGCGGGAACACCCAGCAGGGGAAGACTCAGAGCCGTCCCCTGCATGAGCCTGGACGCCCAAGCAGCCCGGGGTCCCCGGGCTCTGCAGAGTCACCCAGGCCAACCCCTTGGCTGGGGATCCAGCCCCTTTTGCCCCAAGCGGCCCTGTTTAGGATTCCTGTGTGTGATTCTGACCCAAGTCTGTCCGTCGACTAGAGCCTGAGCCTTCTTCCAGAGCACGCAGGTGGCCCCGTCATCTCCTTAGTATGTCGTCTCCCTGCCTAGTGTCGTATGCAAAATGCTCTCAGGTAAAGATCCCAAGCACCTGTGTCTATGCCCAGCCCAGCCACGCACCCTGGCCCAAGCTCTCTGTCTCTCCAGGCTCGCCCAGGATTCCTTTATTTCTTTCTTTCTTTCTTGGCTCCAGGCAGTGTTTTCCTGGAAACACTGGAGGTATAGAAGCAGGTAAAGCAGCTCACCCCTATCCCTCTGCTCTTGGCCCTCCGTGGGTGGCGAGGTCAGGCCGTGAGCCTTCCTGAGGTCAGGAGCTGGTCACAGCCAGAGGGGCTGCATCCACACCCCCACCCCTGTCTAGCCTCTCTGTGTCTGGGAGGGTTTGAAAACCAGAAAGTCAGGAATCAGAGCCCACTCCACCCTGGCCTGTCCTGTGCACAATCGCCTCCCAGCTGGGGACCAGTGTGCCTTGTTGTCAGCCCAGGCCCCCTCAGGCTCTCCGCTAAGGCCCAGTGCATTCCTGGGCACTCTCCTCCTCGTTTCCTTTTACAAATTGGAAACATAGGTGACTGCAAAGATTATACTTGTGCATTGTAAAACCTTTTTAAAGCGCACACACAGAAGAGCAACAGGAAGCAGAGCTCAGCTGGGATGCCATCCACCATGTGGAGGTAACCTCTTTAAAACCTGGGTGTAATTCTTTCATCTTTTACTGTGCATACGGAAGCACATATATGCATACACAGAAGTAACCTGTGCTGTAGTGTCCCCGTCACGTAAATAATTTTGCACCTACCAGCGAGAGTCATGTTGTCTGGAATGTGAGAGCTGACTCTGACCGGAAAGTCACAGGGTAGTCTGTTACCAGCTCAGCTGTTACAAATCTGAGAAAAAGAGAGTATGTTACCACTGATGGGATATTTGCCTAAGGAAGGTCTTTCTTAAAGCAGGGAGGGAACGCCAGGCGGAGCCTCCTCTGCTCCACCTCTGGGCCCTCTGCACCCCGGTTCTCCCTTTCACAAACTCCAACCACCTCGTCCACGTTACCCCAGTCAAGTTCAGGTGCCAGACACTTGTTATGGTTTCATAATTGGTTTCCCAGCCCCATAAATATGCAGAACTGGGTCTCCCCAAACAGTAGGGATCAAGGGGTGTTCATCTGTCTCCCTGAGCCACTCGCTGGCCTGGCCCAAAACAAAGTTTAGTTAGGATGAGGGACAAATCCTGAATCACAATTACCTTGGAGACAGTCACAAAATAGCTGTTGTGAATTTCTTCTTAAACCCACCCAGAGCTTTCCAGGGACCCATTCTGATACGGGTGAGAGAGAACTGGACAGAAGATGCCAAAATGCTCTCCAGGTGCCCTCTCATACCCTCCCCGCAGGAAGCACCGTGCTCAGCACTCCTTGACCTCACTTAAGACAACCCCAGGCTCCCAGAACACACATTGTTAAGAAATGTCATCCAAATGTAGTTAGCGCAGAGATGGTAAGCGGCGTGCAGGGTAGTTGTGGAGCACAGAGACAGAGCTCCATGGCCTGCATGAGGCCTGGCAGGCCAGGCAGGGCCTCTGGTGTTAGCAGCACACAACAGAGTCTTAAATGATAAGTCAGAATCGGTCAGGAGATGGCAGGGAGGGCGTTCTGCCAAGGAAGAGCGTACCCAAAGGGCAAGGGCGAGGAAGCTTGGCCTCAAGAGATCTCAAGGTGATTGATGATGGACCAGAAAGTGCGAAGGAGGAGGGGGCGGAGAAACAGGAGAGGCAGGGAGGGAGCATTGGGGGAGTGTCTGGGGACGGTAGGTGACAGGGCTTCACTGAAGGCTGCTATTGGGTGGAGTGAGAAATAACCAACAGTGTGCGGCCTTCATGGGGACCGTTTGTCCCTTGGCCACTGTGATGGTTACCTTTTGGGTCAGCCTGACTGGGCTAAGGGATGCTCGCGTAGCTGGTAAACACTGTTTCTGGGTATGGCTGCGAGGATGTCTGAAAGAAGTTAGCATCTGAGTCGATAGACTGAGTAAAGATCGTTCTCATCAATGAGAGCGAGCTTCAGCCGATCCATTGAGGGCCTGCATGGGACAGAAAGGTGGAGAAAGGGCGAATTTGCTCCCTCTGCTTGAGTTGGGACGCCTGTATTCTCCTGCCCGCGGACGTGGGAGCTCCTGGTTCTCAGGCCTTCTGATCGGACAGAATTACACTGCCGGCTTTCCTGATCGTGGGCTGACCATGGGCCTTCCCAGCCTCCATCATTGCACGAGCTGATCCCTCATAACAACTCTCTTTCTACGCATCTATATGTGTCCTGTCGGTGCCGTTTCTCTGAGGAGCCCTGACTGGTGCAGCCCCGCTCAGTGGCCCCTGTGCCGGCAGAGGTGGCACGAGCCCACGGCTTCCCTGGCAGCACCCCCACAAGACAAAGGGCCCTGAGACTGACTTAGAACCCCTTTCTTTCCTTCAGGAGGTGCTTTGCCTCTGGGCACCAGGGTCTGTGCTGGCTGCGGACGGGCAGAGGGGCTGACGGGGACAGTGAGCTCAGCGCCAGCTTTAGGGCTCAACCAGCGAGGAGTCAAACACAGGCTTCGCCTCTCTTACGGGCTGTCCCTGGTCACTTCACATGCCTAGCCTTGCTTTCCCCATCTTAGTTCTGCACAGAGCTGTACAAATCAGAGCAGAAAAACATAGGCACAGCATCCAGCAAGAAACGAGGCGCTTAACGAACGCCAGTTTCCTTTCCTCAGCCTTGACAGCAGAGTGGCTGCCAGGTGCCGCACGCCTGCTTCCCGGTCATTCCCTCTGGTCCTCACCAGCCCTGCAACGACTGTCACCCCCATTTGCAGGTGAGGAAATGGAGACTCAGAGGGTTTGTGTGGCCGGAAAGTAAAAGAATGGAGATTTGAAGCCTGGTCAGCTGGCCGTAAAGTGCTCTCTTCCCGCAACGTCCCCGTGGGCTTTAGGGACAGAGGCCCCGCCACGTCTCGCCCAGTGCAGCACAATGGGCCTCTCTGCTCGGAGTCCAGCTGGTCCTCACGGTACCAGTGGGTCCCCGAACAGGGAGGCAGGCCTGAGTGCCTGGATGCGACATCCCTGGTCATGAGCCTCCACTCTACACCGTCTCAGCTCATGACCCGCTGATTGTGAAGGCAACTGGGAGAAGGAGGGAGCCCTTGCCAGGAGCGGAAGCAGCCTCGGACTGCACGCTGGGGAAGGAGCAGAAGTGGGGGCCCAAAGGGGTGAAGGGGAGACAGAGAAGGACACCCTGAGAAAGAAGGGGGGCCGAGCGGGGTTTTTGTACAGGAGCAGGAACCTGGAGTCAGGGACCAAGCCCCTTGGCATGAGCTGAGAACAATAATTAAGACCCTACACTTGTGAAGCATGTTACCCGTTACCGTTTCTGTCACCCACGCTATCCCAGGTGATCTGTGCACAAGGTTGGGCGAGGCTGACAAAAAAGGCATCATCAACTTCCCTTTCAGATGAAGAATCTGGGGCTCAGAAAAGGTCCGACTTTTGGCTAAGGTCACGCAGCTCGTTGGAGGTAGAGCTGGTTCTCAGATCCAGGTCTTCTGACTTGTTAACTCTCCTTTGCGGGTGGCGGAGGGACTAGATGTTAGCTGCCCATTCTCCCATGGTGCTGGGGACTCAGGATAAGCCAGTCTGGCCTGATGATAGGATTTGATTATATACTATTTAATTATATATATTAATATGGTACATATATATACACATCACATATATGGCGCATATATATATATGAATTCCATATATTGTGTATATATGGTATAATAAGTGCTTTCTATACTTTTATGATGATACTGTCCTTAGAGTTGTAGAAGCAGGAAGAACCAAGTAGAGGGCACAGGCCAGAGAGGCAGAGAAGCGAGACCAGGGCAGGGGACAAGAACACCCTGGAGATGGACAGGGGTATGCGTGGCCAAGGGATTTGTGCCTGAGAGCACGCAGTCTCACAGGGTTTGAATCTACATGATTAAAAATGTGTGTTTATAAAGCATCTACTATGTGACAAATGTATTCACTTTAATTTTCATAATGACCTTGTGACATAGGAATTGCTATCCCTGTCTTATGGATGTGGGCACTGGGGCTCAGGGAGGCTGTGACATTTCTAAGGTCACTCAGTATAGTGGGTTGAGCTGTCCTCCAATAAAGTATATCCAAGTCCTAACTCCTGCAACTTGTAAATGTAACTTTATTTGGAGTCCTTACAGATTTCATTAAGTTAAGGATCTCAAGAGGAGCTCATTCTCTATTATCTGGGTGACACCTAAATCTAATGGCAAGTGTCCTTATAAGAGACATACAAAGGAGAGACACACAGAGAGAAGAGCATGTGGAGATGGAGGCAGAGATTGGAGAGATGCTGCCGGACGCCAAGGAATGCCTGAGGCCACCAGAGGCCACCAGAGTCTTTGGAGGGAGTGTGACCCTGCTGACACCTTGAGTCAAGACTTCTGGACACCAGAACTGTGAGAGAATGAATGTCTGTTGTTTTAAGCCACTACGCTTGTGGTAATTTGTTCCAGCAGCCCGAGGAAACGGAAACATTCAGTAAGCGACAGAGCCAGGGCTCGAACCCATGATTCTTTTGTCTTATCTCATCTCCCAGTGTTTTCACACGGCCTAGTATTTTCCTCAGGACAATCTGTGTGCATGTACCTATGGGTGCATGGGACCCTTATAAATCTTTGTGCCAATAGTCACATCATTTCTATTGTACTCCACACCCAAAAGATGTCGCTGCCCATGGAACATTCTGAGAAAGGATATAAGGGGGCCATGAAGAGGTCACAACTCTTTTCAAGGGCCCAGCAATGCGAAGGGGCCCGAAGCCATTGGCCGGTGGCAGCCACAGCAGGGAGCCTGACTTTACCCCCACTTCAGCTGTGGCATCGGTGTTGGGTAGGGCTGTGGCCTGGAGGCCCTTCAGAACAGCTCGGAGGCCTCTGTTCTCCCTTCTCAGACACCAATCGCCAGGCCATCCTCCTGGGCGCGTCCGATCAGCGCTAGGGCCCGCCAACCAGCCTGTCCCAGAGGCCAGGCCCTTAGGGCTTCTAACGGAGCCATGGGATCTGTGAAACGGCTCGGAGGTTTGGGTCGTGCTTTCATGCCTGCAACTCCTGCAAGGGAGTGGGGCCTCCGGGTCTGTCCTGGGACTGGCAGAAAGGGGCAGTTCTGTGTTATTGCCCAAGGTCGGAGAGAACAGAATGCCAGGAATTCCAGGAGTTGGGACAGAGATAAAGAGCTAATGGAGGCCAGCGTAGGCCTGAAGCCATGAGGTCAGCCCATCGCTGGGAGATTCTAGGAAGGACATCAGGCATGAGAGCACCAAAGGGCAAAACCCCATGCCAGGGCAAAGCTCTGGGCCTCCGAGGGGCTCCTTGCTGTCTTCTGTTAAGGCAGAGGCCGATCCCAGGCCTCGGGTAGCCCCGGAGGAAGACCAGCAAACTGACCGCATGCATTCAATGGCAGCAGGATCAGAGGGGCCCCCGTCTGAAGGTTGATGTGTCACAGTTACTCAGGTGGTAACTACACAACCAGAGCGAGAGCTCAGGACAGTGGCCTCCTGACTCCTGCCCAGTGCTCACTCCCAAGCCCTTCTGATGGACGCAGACAAGAGGCAGGGCCACCCTGGGCAGCTGTGATCCAGCATAGCAGCTGGTGAGAGTGACTCAAGCTTCGGGTGCTAAAGGTGGGAGTGTGATGGGGTTATTATGCAATTTAGTTTCTGCAATGCTTCTAGTCTAGCAATGGCTTTGAAACTGGGCCATGTGGTGGCCGTGTGACTGGGTTTACTGGGGGTCAAGGGGGGCCCACTGGGTGGTACGCAGAGTACATTGAGACTGATTGCTAGAATAAGAAAAGG